AGATGCTCTCCCAGCATTTTCTCTCTGGGAAAATTAACAAGGCAGGCTAAGAAAATGTCAACTAGCCAGTTCCTTCCAATTATAGACATTTGTACTGATATATCTCAAAGTGTCTCAAACTCAATATGTCCAAAACAGAGCTATGATCACTCCAGATCTGCTCAATTTCTGGTATTCTTAGCTCCTTGAATGGCATCATCGTACAATTAATTGGACAAGCCAGAAGCCTAGGAGTCAATCTTGTCATTTTCCTTGCTGTCATGTTCCAGACTATTCTATCACCGAGTTCTGTCCATTTTATTTCCTTCATTCCTCTTGAACCAATTTATTCTATCTGATAAGTTATCATTATTGTAGTCTGAGCTATCATCCTCTCCCTCTAACTGGCCTCCATCTCCATTCTTGTCCTTTCACTCAATTTTTCTCCACTCTGCAGCCCCAGTAATCATATAAAAATATGAATCTGATCATACAATTCCCTTCTTTAAGACCTTCCCATGGATTTTAGGATAAAAACCAAAATTCCTAACACAGTCCACAAAGCGCTGCCTCGTCTGGCACCTGCTGACCCATTTGCCTCCCGATCTGCACACATCAGCCTGCTCTTCTCCACATTTCCTTCCACCATGTGCCTTTTGCAGTTGCAGTATCCTCTTTCTAGGATATGTTTCTCCCCTCCATAGTGTCTTTGGTCTAGTTAACATCTTCACACATATCCTCCATATCTCTGCTTGCCTGACTCATCTGGGGAAGTATTTTCCTGATACAGCTACTTTCCTAACATATAACAGAGGGAAAGGAGCTTTTCTCTTAAGAACTCCAAGCCAAGCCAAGATTCTAACTTTTCTCCATGAGTGTCATGTTCTTTCCCTTCCTTGCATACATCAGCTTTAATTTCCACTTTTATGATTGTTCATAGATTAATTCCTTCTCCCTCTGCCTTTTGGTAAACTCCACAAGGATAGTATCTGTGTCTCATTCATTCATCCTTGAGTCCTCAGTGCCCAGCACACTTCCTGTTTTATAGCAGAGGTTCAAAGCATATTTGTAAAATAAATGAATGCATGGATTTTACCTTCCATTCTTCCTCTCAAAATGTCTTCACCTGATTCCTGTGTGGACTGCCATAAGTTTAGCAGTGATTCTTCTTGCTCTGTCAGTCCTTACACTGACATCCAGGTTTATTCAGTCTTTATGTCCTCAGCATGTTTTGGTAGTTCCCTCTCAAGAGGGCCTGCATGAACCTCTGGGGATGGGGCTTGGGGCAGCTGAGTGTAATGGAAGAAAGTTTGTCTGGGTGGATTCTGACTCACTGCTTCCCTTGAAAGAGGGGAGAAGTCTGTGAATCTTGGGATAATTACCTAGGGTCTGGGAAGATGTTCTCACAAAGCAGTTTTCCCAGGAGCCCTTCTTACGTTTTCACTCCTCTCCCTCCCACTTCCCTTAGGCTTTGTAGAGCGCATATTTGCAGAGGAAAGAGCTGCCTTTTTTTTTGCATTGGGGTTCATTTGAAAGAGCAGGTCTGCAGAAGAAGAGAAATGGCCACACTGCTGTTAGCTTTCTGTAAAGCAGCGCACACTTTTCTAGTGTGTGTTTATTACCTACCCCTTGAGCTAAACATGAGGCTGAATGGTAATTGCCCAGGTCTCCAGGCAAGTCCATTTCCCTGCAGGTGTACTTGCAGGCACTGAGGAGCCCTGAGGTGTAATCTTTACACAGCTGCCTTGGAAACTGAGTTCACCAATGTTTGCTGTGTGCCCAAGGACAAGCAGGTATCTACAGCAGTGGGTGTTTCTAACAAATTCTCCTCTCAAATTGGCACATTCTCTGTGAGCTTTCCAGACTTCACAGTGTGTCTCACAGTTTGGGAACAATTTCCACCCTCATCTGACTGGCAAGTACCAGTTCTGTGGTAATTTGTGTCTTTAAAATAGCTGAATACACAATAGGGCGCAGAGGTCCATTTTGCTCCTGACGTAATTACTTAAATACACATTCCTGCAGTGTTCCCGACTCAGAAGGTTGCTCCTGAACACGTCCAAAAGAATGCCATGTTATACTCCTTTAGCTTTTTCCACGTACATTATCCATACCCACAGAGAGGTTAAACGTCTGTTCTAGATTAATTTGCCTTTCAAATATTTCCATAGGGTTGAATTATTGCTTTTTATTCTTACAGTGTTCTGTCAAATCATCTTTGTTATATCAAGACTGGGGGCAGCTTTGTCACTACTTTTGCTGCTCTGAGGATGACAAGTGTCTTGGTTTGCCCAGGTCGGCATTGGCTACCCAGGGCTAGGGGTTTTCAGGCTAGAATCAAGAGTCCATGTAAAATGAGGACAAAGTTGTCACCCATCACCATTGCTATTCTTGATAAGGGAGAAGGTAAACCCAGTCAAGGGGAATCTTTATTCCCTGGGTAGACTAGTTTAGTACTTGGTAGGAATTCCCTAAAACCTATACTTTTCTAAGTACTTCTTTTTTCTTTCTTTAAAAAAATTAATAGCTTATTGAAGAGATGACTCATGCCACACAATTAATAGGCCTATTTAGAGTTCTTAGTTGTGTAACCCTCACCACAACTAATTTTAAACTATTTTCATAAATCCCCCCTCCAAACCCCTGGAAACCATCCAGAGTTACCCCAAACCTCTCACACCAATCTTTCATCTTCTGGCAACCACTATTCTGCTTTCAGTCATGATAGATTTCCTTTTTCTGGGTATCTCATATAAATTAAATCATACAATATGTGTAGGCTTTTGGTTCTGGCTTATTTTGCTTAGTATAATATTGTCAAGGTTCATCCATGTTGTGGCACATATCAGAACTTCATTTTGTTGATAAATAATATTCTCTCTATATAATAACTTTACATATATTACAAGTTTATATGTGTATTATAAGTTGATAGACATTTACATTGTTCCTACCTTTTGGCCACTTACATGTAAGTTTTTGTGTGGATATATGTTTTCATTTCTCTTGGGTATATATCTAGGACTGAAATTCCAGGTCATATGGTGGCTCTATGTTTAACGTTTTGGGGAACTGCCAGACTATTTTAAAAAATAGTCAGACTTAAACTTTCCATGTTCAACAGCAGAGTACATAGGTTTCAACACTTGTTGCTGTCTATTTTTTTAAATTATAGTCTTCCTGGTGGATAGGAAGTGGCATCTCATGGTTTTGATTTGCCTTTCTCTGACAGGCAGTGATATTAACTATCTGTTCATATGCTTACTGCTAAGCTTGTTAAATGGAAGACATTTAAATTGAATGCTCACAAATATCTTCCAGCTTCTCAAATACTTCTACCCAAAGCTAAATCTGCACTTTTCATTGAAGTCACTGCCTTCCTCATGATCAGAAATGTCCCAGAGTAAATGCTTCCCTCACTTGCCCTAATGTGGGGAGTCCTCTTCTGTTTCCACCAAACCTTCTTTGCCCTAGTGGCTGTCTTTTCCTGAAGTGTATCAGACAATGAACTGTGTGCTCCCTGAGTGTAAGACTGGCTATGTTCCCTGGCACAGTGTTGACCAGTTTCCTCAAAGGCTCCCCGTTCAATGATCACTCTTACTATGGGTGCTCTGCACATTGGGTAATTTACCCACTCATTCTTTCTCCTCTCATCTCTCTAATTTTCTGCTATTTCTTTCTCTTTTTCCGTCTTCCTTGGGCATTCTGTGTGTTTGCTTAATTATTATTATTGTTAGTTTTTTGAGACAGGGTCTTCTTAAGTTGATGAGGCAGTGCTCAAACTTGTGATTTTCCTGCCTCAGCCTCCCAGAGTGCGGTGATTACAGGTGCATGCTACCATGCAGGGCTTGTTTATTCAGTTTTGATCATTTATTAGTTTATTCCTTCATTCCTCCCCTAACAAATTCTAAAAAGAGCCATGCATGTTAATCAGCTTTCTGTTACTATTAATCTATATGTGAGCTGATCAATTTATAAAGAGGAAGTTTTATTTTAGTTAGTGGTTTCGTGGTTTGTGGTTACCTTTAGGTATGTGGTGAGACAGAACACCACGTGGGAGCATCACATGGGAGCACATGGGGAAACAAAACAGCTCATCTCAAGGTTGGGAGGCAAAGAGAGAAAGAGGAAAGAACCAGAATCCCACAAACCCATGACCCAAAGACCTTCCAGTACTCCCCATCCTAAACAGCACAAAGCTTGGGGCCAGACTTTAATACACAGATCTGGGAGCCATTCCAGATCCACGACACTCCATCCTGTCCCCTGCCCTTGCTTTGTCTTCACTGATTAATTGGTTTTCTCTCAAGAAACCCCATTGTTTTGACAGAAAAGGATGGGTTTCCTGGCAAGGCTACCAAAGAAATGCTCTCTTTCAGAAAATATATTCTGTATCTGCAGTGACTTTTTGAGCCTGATAATAAAGACTTAGTAATTTTCTTCTTTCCATTGGGGCCCTGGCCACAGTCATCGTGTAGTTTTTTAAATGCCTGTGCATGAATCCACTCCTCTTACCCCATGCTATTCAACATCTACTACAGAGATAAACTTTCAGCATTTTAAGCCAATCATTACTTGTTTGTGTGGGTAAAATAGCCACTACTTTGCAGTTTGGCAGAGGTGACAAGGATAATAATAATAATAATAATAATTAATATGTAAATAAAGAAGTGGAGGAAAAAAATTTAATTGTAGAAGCTCACAGCCAGGTATTATTACTATTATTATCATTTCCATGTACTGTTCACTTTAGCAAAAGATTTAGCTCAGCTTGGGGTAGTGTAGTTACATTTAGACTCCAGAACAGGGCTGGGGATTTAGCTCAGTGGTTCTGCCACCTGCTTCGAAAGTGCGAGGTCCCAAGTTCGATCGCTGATACAAAAAACAAAACAAAACAAAACAATCCAGAACAGCCCCTCATTTCTTCTTTCACCATGTGGATCACCCTGAGGATACACATTCCTGATCACACTGCCGTGGGGTTTCCCTGATGGGAATGCTGGTTGGTTTGTGTTTTTCAGAGTCAAGGGGCTGGGGAAGGAGAAGTTGAGGCAGGTGATGAAGTGTGAGGTGACTCAGAGTCAGCCTCTGGGTGGGGTCCCCCTGCCCCCTGCTGCCTGCCTGCTCAGTACACTGTCTGCATGCAGCCTCCCTGGACCTCCCTGCCTGTGGTGCTGCCCTCAGGAATCTCAACAGTCTGCTCAAGCCAGGGGGTCTCTAGGTGCTCATGGATGCATGAGCTGAAGAGTAGCTACAACAATTTTCAAGCAGAGGTTCTCTGGCCTCTCCCGGGCCAGAGGCAGTAGAAGATGCTGTGACAGAGACTGACTATAGCATCGAGCCCTTAGAGATGTTCTCTCAAAGTTATTCCTCCACCACTTTTGACAGCAAAGGGCTTTTCTTCTTGTGGGGACAGAAGCTGGGCTGAATGACATTGTGTGATCTCAAATAAAACAGTGTCCTGACCAGTGTACTTCAGATCTTGGTTCCAGCTACTGTGGTCTCTGAGCTGAGCAGATGCTAAGTATCTGGGACTGATGCTTTTTCTAGGGCAAGATTAGAATAGTTGGTATAGGAAAATCTTGTGTATCACCACCTAACCTGTGCTCCACACACATGTGCCAGGGAACCCAAAGATGAGTAACTGGGATGCCCAGCCATCCCTGCCAGTGTTTATGAAAGGACTCTCCAGATATCCACTTATGATGGCTCAAACCCACACTTGCCTATGAGAAATGTCTGCACTAATAGTTTCTTGGTGAGGATACTTCTTGCTTCTGACTTATCTCCTCCAGAAGCTGTCATACCTCAGCCTCTGCTGCTGCTGGGCCTCCCTGGGCACAGCCATTTTCTACTGGATATCCCTGCTGTCAGCACCATTCTGGCCTCAGGGGTCAGAGAACAGCTGGCTAGAATTTCTGTTCCTCCCAGGATCCAATTTGTTTTAAAAAAAATAAATATCTCATTTTCAAGTTCTGATTCACCTACTCCCTCACCGTTTTTCCTTGGGCAAGTTACATAGCCTTACTGTGCCTCAGTTTCCTCCTCTGCAAGATGAGATTTAAATAGAACTTCCTCTTAAGAGAACTAAAATGATTTGCTACATACAAAATATCCAGAATAATGATGGCCACTTGATAAGCATTCAATAAATATTAACTATATAATCATTATTACCATAGTTACTGTAATTATCATCTTTCATATTAGTTACCAAACAGCACAAAAAAGATGCTTCAGTCTCCAAGTAGGAAGGAAAGTTGTTTCTTTGGGCTATAGACATCCAGACTCCTGACTGGTACTGCTTTCAAGAATAGCTGTGAGGAAAGTCAGTTTCTGTACCACACACTGCAATTCCTTTATGATTTAAGAAATATGCAATATTAAATAACATGGGTTTAGCACCCTCCACATATCTTCCCTATACCAGGCCCTGGAAATGCAAATCAAATCCCAGGATGAGCTGGCCAAAGAGTCCTTATCTTCACAGGCAGAGACACCCAAGTGCTCCTAGGAGCTCCAGAAGGCAGTGCAGCCATGCAGCAGTCCCCAGCCACAATCCACTTGATTCACCACCCCTGAGCAGGCTGTGCTGGCTCATGAGCCCAGCCTGATAAACCTGGGGAGGGGACAAAATGATCTACTGTACTTTAAAAGGCCCTAATGCCTCAGAGCTATGCTGGTTTCCTGCCAGGGTGGAGGGGACAATTTCCATCTGTACTAGAGGCCAGCCCAGTAAATATGTTTGGCTTTCTGGGTCATACAGTCTTGACTGCAACTGCTCAACTCTGCAATTGTAGTAGAGATAGCCATAGGCAATATATAAATGATGCGTGTATTCCAGTAAACTTTATTTACAAAAACAGGTGGACAGATAGAGTTGAAGCAAGGGCTGTAGTCTAGACCCTGAAGTGCCCTTGTTTGTGCCCAAAGTTTGATAAAATTTCTCATGAGCAGTCTTAGTTTCTAACACCCAATCCTATTAGGTGCTCAAACCAAATCCAGCGGGCTGGAGAGGGCATAGGCAGCGTACTGTTTCCTTTATGCTCCATGCATGTTTTGTCACTCCATGTTATGTTTTGGATCTAAATGTCCCCAAGATGCTCATGTATTTGGAGGTGATTGGACCATGAGGGTTTTAACTTCATCAGTGGATTGAGGGATTCATAGTTTGGTGGCATCACTGGAGGTAATGGAGACTTAGGAGGTGGGGCCAGAGTGTGCCCCTGAGACTATATCTTATCCCCACCTTGTCTCCTCTTCCTCTTTCTTCTCTTTCTTTTCCTTCTTCCTCTTATTCCTTCCTTTCTTTCTCTCCCTCCTTACCTCTCTCTCTGTCCCCATGAAGTGAGCAGCTTCACTCCACCATGCTTAACTGCCATGTTTCTGCCTCATCAAAAGCCTAAAAGTAATGGAGTGATCTAACCAAGAACATAAGCCAAATAAACCTTTCCTTCTTTAAATTATTATTTTCAGGTGTTTCATCACAGCAGCGGAAAGCTGACTGACACACTTTCTTTCCTGCTACATCCTCCATTCAAAACTCTTGCTTCCCCCAGTCGGAAGCATTCAGTGGATATAAACAGAAATTTAGAAAACAAGTGAGAGCTGTGGGCAGAGTTACAGATAAAGTGTCCACTGCACCAATATTTTTCAAACTTCAAGTTGCCATTCACTGGTGTATCCTACAAGCAATTCGGTGCACCGCAATAAACACTTTAGAGAAATAATGCAGAACAAATTGGAAAACAAATCCTAGATAGTAGCACTTGTTGTAATATTACTTTGTGAACTTTTGTTTCAGTTTTACAAAAATATTTATCTACATATGCCTATTCATATGATATTCATATATCATTGGATCATGAAATAACATATATTTACTGCTGTCAGTTTTGATCAAAAAGTTTCAAAACTGCTGTCTTATACACTGGGCTCCTGGGATGTCACTGTGAGTGAGAGTCAATGTGTCCCTTTCACACAGGGACAAAAGACACAGCCTCTGTTCTGAAAGAATTCTGAGCCATTGGGAGAATCTGATGTGCAAACAGTTAAAACAGAGAGAGAAGGGTTCTAAGATGATTAAGCAACGGGTGCAAGGAGGGGGGTGCCAAGGTGAGTGGCCTTTGATCTGGGTGTTACAGGCCGAAGAAGGGTGTGTTTGGCAACCAGAAAGGAGCGGGCAACCCACAGGACAATGTGTACAAGGTATGAAATGACTTCTCTTGACAGCAGACTTCTTGCAGGTTTGTTCTGCGAGGGAAGCCAGGACCTAAGCAAACATTTAGCTTCTGATTTTTCATTTGCTTTTCCTGAAATCAAACAGACAGACCAAGTTATGAGCAAACATGGACTGCAGGGTCACTCTGGTCCTAACTTGTAAATCTCTTTGACCACTGACCCAGCTTGACTTTTTTCAGGTCCCTTTCTGGGGACGTGTGGGACAGTCTCACCCCGAGCAAATGCTGAAGATGCGGGGAGCCGCAGTCCTCATGTGATATCCTGGGGAAAAGAAAGCTATTAAAAAGGTTGTTAACCCATTTGGTGTCATGCAGCCCAGCCTTGGTAATTCCCATCATCTGGCTGTCAAGAGTAATAAAAGGAGATGTCCATGATATGACTTACTAGGTTGAGCTTCAAAAGCTGTGACTGCCCCCTCTAATTTTAACTTCAGCCAACTCTGAATGAGAGGCAACCAATGAATCTTATAGAGGGTAGGAGGGAGGGCGGAAAGCTCAGGATGGAGGGACAGAAAATTCAATTGCTGTGAGAACATCATTACACTTTTCTCAGGTTCAGGACCCCTCTGGAAAACAGGGGTAATAATCATCTCTCAGGACTGGCTTGAGATCAAAAGAAATACATGGGAAGGCATTTTGTATCCTGTTATGCAATAGCATATATATTACAGAATTTCAATATTATTAACCCCTTCTAGAAAAGCCATAGGCCACATATTTACTACGTTTCTTTATTAAATTTTCTTAATGAGCTAAGTATGACCTTTAAAATCTGACCTTCGTATTCTTGATGTCTGAGTCAGCACCATTCGCACCTTGGATCCAGAGTCGTCTTCACAGTTATAAATTCATTTAAATGATGTGTGTTCCCATTATGTGTCAGGCACTGAGCTTGAGTTTTGAGGATATTGCACTGTAAATGTCACAGATTCTGGCCTCATGGCCTTACATCCCTCTTGAGGAAGACCAGAAAGCTATCCACTCCTGCAGAGCTAGGAAAAGCACTAGATCTTGTGGTTCTTGGATCAGCCATTCAGGAATGTTTTGCATTTTCTGATAGAGGCCATGAAAACAATACAAACCAAGCCTTTCTTATGGAGGGGGCCTCTGTCCATATAGTGCAGCTCAGCCTACCGTTATCACATCACCATCATCATCGCTCATAATGTGTTTAAGGACTATTATAGCAAAGGCAAACACCATTCGAATGGCAACACTGGAGCTTTCTGCTTCATATTTTCCAATGGAAATAATGATTTTTACTTTTTGGTCTTCAGTTCTCTCTTTTTCCCCCCTTTCTGACCAGTCTGCTCACATTGAGTGGAAACACGATCCTAGGCCTTCCAATGACCAGCAGAGAGCGCACGTGGACCTCTGAAGGCCTCTGCCCATTTACACAAGAAGGAATTTAAATTAAGATAAACTTTCCAAAACAAGGAGCCTCTCAATAGTATTTTCTTTTGTAAACTCTACTAGGCTGCTAGGGAAAGGGGAAAGGGAACTCAGCACATTTTCCTCTAACAAAAAACATGTATAATTATTTTTATAGATAGACACATTAAAAATTCTCCATTTTGGGTCTATACACAAAATGCAAATTTTAATAAACCATACAGAGGCTCTTGGCCAGATTAGCATGAGAAATGTCAAATATTAGATTATGCAGTTAACTCTCTATCACCTTCTATTTCCTGTTTATTCAGGAGGGGAAAGGAAGTTTTTGTACTTTTTCAAGCTCTGGTTTTTCAATGTGAAAAAAAAAGAAGTCTCTCTGTGCCTATGGTTGCTGACCAAACCGCTATGTTCAAAACTTCAATTTTTACTTCAATAGTGTCTGATGGATTCAGGGGAAGAGTTGGGGTTGGATTTCTTTGCATTAATATTGCTTTTATTCTGACTTCAGTGTTGAAAACCAGGAAATAATTTCTTTCCTGGTAGGTTCTTCTCTTTCTTTTTAGAGAAAAGCTCTGGGCATTTAAACAAAATAGAAGTTAAAGAGCTGAAGTCAGTAGTTAGGCTGTTTGTACCCAAGTGACTGTGCTGTACTACTCTGTGCCAAAGAGCAGCAACAGGACATGGGCTCCATGTGCTACAGGAGCAGGGAGGGTTTTATAGCAGGAAGACAAGCTGTGAGCTACTGCCCCTTACCACTCAAGGGTCAGTTTATGTCTCCTTACCACCCTGTAAA